GGCTTGTAGGAAGCGAAGGGAGGAGTCACCACTCGGGGAAGAAGACCGGAGCGAAGACCACTTGAGGGGAAGAAGGAAGATTCTGAAGTGATTGATTTATCGGAGCTTACACTACTCTCACTACCTAGTCTGCATCCAATCGTTGGGGTCATCCAATCACCAACACTCTGCACTCGTCCAATCATCCTACTCGTCTAATCACTAGTGGCGTAATCAACGTATCATAATCATCGCGGGATCGTGTTGGACAGGTTCGGGAACCGGTATATACCGTCAGGAACCGGTAACCCTCAATAGGGCAGGCACGAAACTGAACCAACTAGCACTGCCACAAGTATTAGCGCCAGCAAAAAAGGATGTTGTCAAAGTCCAATAAAGTTGTTTCGCAGACGAGTAGAGCTACAAAAATGAATGGTATCTCAGATAACTCGTCTAACCAGTTTTTTTTTTCTTCATTTTCTTCTTTTTAGTTTTCTAACGCAGTTATGGATCAGCCCTCACTTTGTTGCACCTGATATTCTAGCACAATTCAAGATGGTTGATGCTAAAATTAAAATCAAACCTTACGTCGCTCGTACGATATCTATCCTATAGCCGCAAAAAAGCTGACAGCACTGATATCTACATCGACCTGAGTAAATCAGGATATACTTCACAAAGCCGACACCTCTGCGGTCGAAGTATAATTGCTTGGAAGACGATGTGGGGGTGGGAATTGACGGGCTCGGTGTCTATTCTGTCGAGACGTTGGAGACAATGGTAAAATTGCACAAGGGGATGAAGGTGGTTACACTTGTGAGAAAACTGTCACTTGGATTAACTCAATTGATTTTGCACTTTCTCTACCTTCGTGAGTCCAGGACAAGCAGATGCCAGCTTTGCTGGCAAAGCTCAAACCCACCCATCTCGTCTCGTTACGGGTGTGCACTTAATTCTATACACAAGTCGATCAATTCAGCTGATTAGACTGTGCATGTTTCCGTTTTTGATTCAGGCTGAAGTGCTAAATAAATATTGTCAGCAGACCCAAGTCGATGAAGTTACAATTAGCGTCGTAATGGGCAAGCTGTTTAAGATGAGGAAGAACGCCATGGTGACTGATCCCGGCGCCATAGAGCCTGACGTTAGCGCACTCACGGTAGCGTCACTGACTGAACTAGAGTGCAGAACTATGACGGATCCGCTTTCAAGTATGTATGTCCTATGGTGCCGACATACGGGGTTACGGCGTATACGATGACCACGGATCAAATGATGACACGATCTGCCTCCTCCAATCAGACTAAATAACGCGTAGCATAACTAAATCAAAACCTACAAATAAACCGAGGCGTGATGTCGTCTCATACCACCCGCTCCACAGCCAACCGAAATTGGTTTTAGATCGCATTGTTGCGTTGCCCTTCCCTTTGCATAGGCTCCATTTCCTTCCTAGTCCGTTACTTGCCAGCAAAGCTTGCGAGTGTGCTATATTGAATTTTTTCAACGTGTCATCGCGATCCTAGCCAAGTCTCCTCCTCTGCGACTTGCTATTGCTGTTGGAGACCCACCGCTCTCGTTGCTCTTGAAGAATCGCTTGTAGCAATTCTTGACTTCGTGAAGGACATCCATAGTAGAGTAGTAAGTAGTAGTAAACGTGTTCTCGCGTTCATTACTCTAGGGTCGTCCATAGTAGAACCTCCGTTGAAAATCCTAAACACCAGCACTAGCAACGTTAATCACTAAAGATGTCTCGGAATGTCCAGCCAAATATTGATTTAGTATTAATATTTGCACTAATCCATTCAAGGTGCTCGCGTGGCCCAATGGATACGGCGCTGCCCTCCTAAGGCAGAGATTGCGGGTTCAAGTCCCGCCGTGAGTAAAATTTGTTAGTTGCGTTTTTGCTCTCCATACATCCGTTGATTTTTGCTAAGGCCATGGCGAGATTGGTCGCTTGACTCAGGGTACGTTGATCAACAACAGTGAGGTGGAATACTTTGCGATGACATGACTAATAGTTATACCGTTTTGCTAACCCCCAGCGACTATTGTCGCCAATAACGCGGCGGCAAACATTGTAGAGTATTCCCGACGTCGAATATTTGGTGCGAGAAACTAGAAGATTCGACTATTTAAATTATCTCGTTTACCGTTACCAAGCACCGGTGGAGATTCATGACCGATCAACGTTAAAGTTTTATGCTATTTCCTATCCTGTGGCATGCTCTCAACCTACAATCTCCTTGTGCGAGCAATTCATCTTTCGTAAGCACTCACTCACTCACTCACTCACTCACTCACTCACTCACTCACTCACTCACTCACTTATTCATTCATTCACTCACTCATTCACTCATTCATTCCCTCTCACCGACTAACTACATGTAACTAACTAACTAACTAACTGACTATGAGAAATCCTGTTTTGGGGCCGTTGCTTTGTTACTTAACGTTATTTTGAAAAGTAACCATATTTTGTAAAATCTTAATGTGTGCATTATAGTCAATGTGTATCCTCTAGCCGATATGTATCCTGACTGGTTTCTATGACTTATCATTCTATTCCAACTTCAGCCAATGTTTCGATGAAGGCGTTAGCTTTCTGCCGCTTCAGTCCCTCTCGCGTGTCCTCACGTTGTGGTAAGGCTATGATTATGGATGTTAGACTGTGCGTGTTCAATTCGGCAATATACTAATTTACTAATATATAATCGATATGATACGAATAATATATAGGATACATTTAATACACTTTGTTTCAAACATACAAATCACAATTGGTAATAAGCTGCTGTGTGGTTGAGCAGTCATTCTGAAACCGACCAGAAGCAATCAACTAAGAAGTGGCCGCAATGGCGTTGGGCAAGTGTGCTGGGGTTACAGTGCACGCGAAAAGTATAGACCAAAAAGCGTTTTTAATTAGAATTTTCTTTAATTGCGAACTATTAACCCTTTCGCGAACGGGTACTTTTGACCTGGCTATATTATAGTATAGAAGGTCAAGTCATTAGGCCATCAAAGGGGGCATTTTGCCCCCTTTCATAAACTA